AGAAGTTTTAGATAGGAAGAACATAATATCCAAATTGCAGTTATGCTAGCAAGGCTGATGCTTTGGCTCATGTTCAAATGCTAACCAGATTTGATTCTGTCTGTTGTAAGGTCTGAAATTGCAAGCTTATAGGGCCTTTAGCCATTTTTTTAAAGATACTGATGACAAAGTATTTTATAGAGGTATCTTCTATACAATTGCTCTGGAAGTCTACAAATACACACAAGGCTGTATGTGTTACCTGAACATGCCTGTTGGCACCAGAATCCCAACCTTCAAGTAGCCTTAATTTTGTTTATTTTTAAACCTGTAGTGTAAGTATTTGTAGGGAATTTGAAAGTAAAAATAAATTATTTTTTTAAAATTGACACTCTTTTTGGGCAGCTTTTGTAGATTTATGCTTCTCTCTGGAAGGAGGGAAAATGTCTTAAAACTCACTTCATGCAGTAGTTACAGAACTGACTTGAAACTATTACTAATGACTTTTTATGCTAAAAAATCTTACTCATTAAAATATCGTCAGATGTGATGTTTGTGTATATGTAGGATAACAAGATCTTCTTTTTCTTTGTATAGCAGATGATATTAAGGTAGGAGTCTGGCATGAAAATTTGACTGAGAAATAATTTGTGTCCTAATGTAGGATAACTATTAGTAAATGAACTGCCTGAAGGTTTTATTAGATTGACAAGTGGGGAAATGGAGCAAATGCATTGTAAAGGTAGTTATATTCGGAAATAAAAAGATTATAGGTAGCATTTGTACCATATACAACACAGTTTTTAAAAAGCACACACACCTTTGGTACTACTGTCTGGAAGACATCTGAAGATAATTAAAACAGATTTTATATTTTCATCAATATATTTCTAAGAACAAAAAATTAATAATTTGTCAAAATTCTCTAAACTTTGGGTAATTTAAAGATTAAATCTGAAACAGTTCAGCATAAACTTACTAAAGTTTAATGGGACGCATGGGGGAAACTATGCGCAAAATTCGATAGTAGTTTACAAAGTATCACTTAAGATTAAAGGGGACTAGGGGGCTGTGCCCCCTGCTTGCTATGCTTGCCAACCCCCCCTCTTCTAGGGGGGGGCCCGGGGCTGAGGCACACCTGGACTCAGCTCTCTTCCCCTTCCTCCTGGCCACTGAGGAGGGTCCAGGGTGGCCCCAGCTCTTCTACCCTCCTCCAAGAGGTGAAGGCAGCTCCAGCTGCTGGGGAGGGGGGTCGGGGCAAGGTCAGCCCATGCTTTCCTCCCAGCTGCTGGGGAGGGCCTGCGGCAGGTCTGGTCATTCTCCTCTGCCCCCTGCCCGCTGGGAGGGGCCAGGGTGAAGCAACACCAGGTGGAAGCTATGCTGGCCTCGCTCTCCCAGGTCGCTGGGGAAAGGCTGGAGGGAAGTTGGGGGGCTAGACCAGGCCAGCCCTGGCTCTTCTCTCTCCTTCTCCTTCACCCCCCTTCAGCCCCTCCCAGGATGGAGAGGCTGAGGTGGGCTGAGGCCAGGCCAGGCACAGCTGCCGGGGTGGGAGAAGGCGAGGCCAGGACAGACCTGGCTCTACCTCCTGTCCCTTGCCCCCAGGATCCTCAGCTGGGGGGGTTGGGCCAGGCTCTCTGCCCCCCCAGTCACCAGGGGGTTGGGACGAGGCTGGGCTGAGGCCTTGCTGCAGCAGGTGTGGGCTCCCCCCGCCCCTTGCCAGGCTGGATGGCTCCCACCCACCTCCGAGCATGGGGGGAGGAGGGGAGAAGGAGGCTGCATGGCTCGCCAGCCCCAGAGCACAGTGGAGGTGGGAGGCCACATGGTGGATGGAGGAGCTGCAAGCAGAGGGAGGGGCTGTGGGTCTCAGAGTGACTCATGACATCACTCTGTCGTCCCACAGGATTTTTTTTTTTACATATAGAGAGGGTGAGGTGAGTCTGAGTTTCATACTAACAAATATCCTGTAAGCTGACTGTCTCATAAGGCCATTTCTGATTTTTCCTTATAAACCAAATGTATTAATGCTACAGTGTTTAATTTTTTTTATTTTGTAAAAGCTAGGGATCATTATATGGATTTCTCAACTATTAGACTCAGCACAGTAACTTGAACCTTATGAGAAAGGAAAGAATCTTTAAATATTTCCTGTTAAATTTTCTTTGACTTTGCAAGTTTGTCATGCATTACATAGTCTAATTGAATTAAACCATAAAATGTGTGTTCAGCATAAACCTCCCCCCTTCCAATCATGTAACTGTGCAGCTGGGGAGAAATGGTTTTAAATGTCTTTGAGATGCTCATAGCTTGCTTTCAACTGTAGTAGACATTAAAAGGAGCAAATGCTCCGTTTGAATGTATAGTGATGTTTCCTGAAAGGTGACTAATGCACATGCATTCAATTATGTTTATAACTCTGTAGAGTGCAGCTTTTTTCCAGGAACACCTGCCAAAATACGTGGTACTGAAAAGTAGTGTTGACCAAAAAAATACAGATTCATTCACAAAAGCGTTTTTATTACGATAGAGTATTTGTAGTGGCAAACTTTTTAGCTTGATTGAAGAATCCTAAAACAAAATCCTAAAACAAAATGTAACTTGTCCCAGGAGAATCCAAAACTAAGTAGCTTGGAAAAGTACTATAGATTGGTTTGTGGACTCAGGCACTGAGTATGCAGTTGCTGGCCAAGGGCAACTCTGAGAGCAGCTCTGGATTTCACTGAGCCAATAAACTTAACGTAGAATACTGCAAAGGCATTTCCTGTGGAATGAGTCCATGTGTGACAATCTGGCAGCTGCCAAAGACATTTCATAATGGCTAAAATTCAGTTCCTGAGTTTTTAACATATGAATGGGTTACTTAGAGTAATGTATCCATTTGTGAAGCTAACTGAGGAAAGTACTAGAGATTGCCTTCCCAAGTGCTGGAACATTTTGTATGGTTCATTGGTTCTATACACCCACACTGCAGTGCAAACCACTTTGTGATGGAAATGAGCGGTAGCACAATCCACCTCACTAGTTTTGGCACTTGTTTGTCTCCAGATATCTTTGAGCTGTACTTGGAGGCACATTTTTAGTACGTGCATCCATCTTTGTCACCTCTCCCAAGGATCAAGAGTCCCTGTAGATAAAGCATTGGCCAGAGACTAAGAGATCTGGGTTCAGTTTCTCCCTCTGCCACAGGCTTCCCTATGACCTGGACAAGTTACTGGCATCTAAAATCAAAATTGTGCTGATTTTGCAAAATTTTTAATTTTAAAATCACGCCTTTTAAGTAGATTTTTAATTGTTTATCTAAAATGGTGCTGGATCTGGTCATTCATTCTGGAAAATCTGATCTTGTCAGATATACATGATCATTTGATAAGCAAAGAGCTGTACTGTTGAGGGGAGGGATAGCTCAGTGGTTTGAGCATTGGCCTGCTAAACCCAGGGTTGTGAGTTCAATCCCTGTGGAGGCCATTTGGGGCAAAAATTCATCATGGGTGGTACTTGGTCCTGCTGTGAAGGCAGGGGACTGGACTCGATGACCTTTCAAGGTCCCTTCCAGTTCTAGGAGATAGGTGATCTCCATTATATTCTTATTCTAACTCTGCAAAAATCTGCTCCTAATTCTAACTATGCTGAACAATCAATATAAAGTTAAGTTATGTTATAGGCACATTTATGGCTTGCAAATAGCTGTGAAATAAAATAAAGGGTTGAAATATGAACTTGCATTAAGTTATTGTTGTGATTCTGGTTAGAAAACATACAAATTAGAGTAGTTGACACATGTTATGGATAATTTTGGTGCTAGGGACTGTATGAAAGGAACTGAAACTTCCCAAATAATGAGGAACTTATTGAAAGTAAGCTACTTTATTGAATTTCTGTTTTTTTAAAATTTTGTCCTTGAAGTGGTAGTCAGTGTTCTAAGTAGCTCTTCAAGTCTTCAAAAAGTGAATTATTGTAAACTAACTTTCATTAAGAAGTTAAATGGGGATTTCAGCCTAAAGGAACAATGCCACATTTGCATGTCCTATTTTAAACAGAACTTGGAGCAAGTTGGGCAGACTGTTACAAATTTCTTGTTCCAAGTATCATTAAGATGTTATATAGGATATATATTTCTGAAATAAGCCCATTATGAAGTGTAAATTTGGAAAGGTAACACAAATGCAATTAGTGTGGTCATAGTGGAAAACTGATAATCACAGTAAGGTTCTTGTGATGTTTCCTAAATGTTACAGCACACATTTGTTGTGTTAGTTGTTTAGGGCCAACTCCTATTTGCAATAAATGAGTAGTCACACAAACTAACAGAACCACTTGAATGAGTGAACTGTGTACAGTTGGTCCTTGAGGTTTGTATACAAACCATCACTATAGAACTGTGTTCTTTCAACTTGCAGGCATGTAATTGGAACTATTTTATTAAAATTATTCTCTGAGGGTATGTCTACATAGTACGCTAAACTCTAAATAAGATACGCAATTTGCACTATGCAAATTGCATATCTTACGTTGAATCTCTTTCGAAATAGCTTATTTTGAAATTTGGCGCATCTACACAGTGCCAGGTTTTGAAATAATGTGCTATTTCCAGGTATCCCTTAACCATCATGCAATGAGGTTTACTGGGATGGCAAAATAGCGCTCCTGTTATTTCGAAAAATATTGGGTGGCGTGCGTAAACGTAAGGCAGCTATTTTAGGATACCTCTGGTATCCCAAAATAGTCGTGTGGTGTTAGACATATCCTGAGGGTAATTGTAGGCACTATATTTAAAGGTTCTGCAACTCAAACTTAATTGATACACAAAAAATAAACGTACTCATATGCTCACCTTGTACTACGTGTCTGTGTGTTTATAGTTTGTTTTGTTTTTTTCTTCAAGAAAGAGGCGGTCTTATTTGTATACAGTGCCTACTCCATGTGTAGGATGCTACCATATTTATGCTTCAGTACCTGTGCAAAGTCTATTTAATCTAGAAACTAAATCATTAGAGAAAAACTTCAGCAAAATGTGAATTATTTTTGTTTGTATGTATTACAATTAATAGTTCTGATGTTGTATTAATTAAAACAAATCAATATACAAAGTTTTAATTCCAGACCCCCTCTAGTTTCTGTTGTATGGTATCATTAACTATATTCAACTGTTGACAGTCAAATTGCATTTTTATAGCACTTATCCATGTGAGAACTCCATAGACCATTGCTTTCTTGGAGACTTAAACAACCATCTTTTCCAAATAACACAGCCATAGCTTCGTAAGGCTTGTCTCCACTAAGCCAGGGATTGACCTTTTATTAATGGAGTCGGTTAGGCTTTTGTAGAACTATCAGTAGGCTTAAAAAAATATGGTGGATTAAGTCAACTGAAGGGAGCAACGGCAAAGGGATTCTTCTGAAGTCCCAAAATAACACAATTCTAGTTGTACATAAGCTTTCAGGAGCTGGAATCCACTTTGGCAGATGAATGAAGATGACATCATGCATTTGAAGAAGTGGGTTCCAGCCCGCGAAAGCTTATGCCCAAATAAATGTGTTAATCTTTAAGATGTAACTGGGCTCTCTATTTTTGTTGAAACAGATTAACTCCTTCAAACAATTCTTATATTGCTGAAGTAAGCAATGATTTTTGATCTAAGATCTGTGGTAATCTTTCAGGTTGAAAGATACTGAAAATTTCTGACTATTAGGCTGACTCTAGGTTTGGAGAAAGGCTTCTTATTAATAGGCTCACTCTGAGAAGGACAGCTGTTAGTCATTCCATAAAATGCTTGGTTTTGCACATCACAAAATCACTGCACCAGATGTAACCCCTTATTCACACTGGTGATCAGTTACTTATGTAACAAATTCCTAGTGACTAAATGATACTAAATATATAAATAGCCCAATGGAAATAAGGAGCTCACAATGTAGCCCTGTATATTTGAGTGCATTTAGTGTGTTTCTGGTTGAGAGGCACTGTTCTAGGATGTGTGATTTTTACAAGTCTGGATGGAAGTGCACTAGAGCTGTAGGCAGAAGTATATGCTGCACTGTCAGCTTCCATGAGCACACTTTATAGGTCAATTTAAGTGTGTGAAAACCTTTACATACTACTGTTCTCACTTTATTATGTATATTTGCAAATTTTATAGCATAAGTGCAGTTCCCGTTACAGCGAAGACTTTGTGCTACAGCTGGAAAAAGAGTTGGTCCAAGCCAGACTAAGTGAAGCGGAATCCCATTGTGCTCTGAAGGAGATGCAAGATAAGGTTCTAGAGATGGAAAAGGTAAATCAAAACCAGTATAAAATAGCATTATAAACAACCACACAAGTCCCTATAGTTTAGCTGAATGATTGTGCTCCCAAATTTATCTTGTTAGGTTTCTAGCTCAAACCTTCAGAATCTGAAATGAATGTAATCAAAGCAATCATGTGTGCTTGAACCTTCAGAGATGTTGCAACAATAGTTCAGGTGTGAACTGCTCCTTTTAATTTCATTTTAATGTGATCAGTTTTAAGTCTAGTGGTGGGTAGTATAAACATTTTGTTTAATTATTGATCGTTTTATCAAATTCCAATATAATGTGCCCCTCTGATGTTCATATACTGGTAGATAGCTATTGATACAGGGCATAGCTAACTGCTGACAAAGATATCTGGAATGGAGTATGATGGAAATTAGGTTCTCCTTCTCTAAATTTCAAGTGCTTGTTGGGCAGGAAGCCTTCCAGAATGGTAAGGAACAAATGCTTCTTCTTCACCATACCAAAAACCTCAACTGTCTCTTGTGTGTGAAAACCAAAGCCATTCTCCCACATCTTAGGGGTATTGAAAGCTACAGCTGTCAAAATATCCAACAGAACAAAAATGTGAAGCACATCAAAAGTTTGCAGAATAAAGTGGAATAATTCCTAACGATTAATATAATGATATATTGGTTGGGTGATGAGGCATTCCCACCTATACTGTACTGTACTATGGCACTCTTCCCCTCAATGGGCCTGTTGAGCCAGGGACTGGCAAGCCTTGGTCTAAAAAGAAG